TGCAGAGATCGGGCAGAAGAAGCCTCAGCCCACGGGCCCCCAAGCCCAGAATGCCCCCAAGGTTTAGGGTTTAGGGTTTAGGGTTTAGGGTTTAGGGTTTAGGGTTTAGGGTTTAGGGCCTCAACTTTTCGAAGCCCTAAGCCCTAAGCCCTAAACGCTAAGCCCTAAACCCTAAAGCCTGAACCCTCAGGGCCGAGCTTTCCGGGACGGGCATGAGGCGAATGCCCTGGTCCTGCCAAGTCTGCACCAAATACTACTTTTGGCTTACTAAAGTTTAGGGTTTAGGGTTTAGGGCTACTATTTTCTTAAACTTCCCCCAAAAGACAAGAAAATAATCCCCCACATCCTTGCAGGGAAAACATTTTTCACTTCTCGGGTGGGTCTTAAACAAATTTTTGAATATTTTGAGCTGGGGGAAGTTGCTGGGGTCTTGGTAGGGTTTCAGAGCCCGACATAATCGCGGTGGCCAGCTGTGGCAGCACAGCTTACAAAGTCAGGGCTTTCTGAGGTCCCCAAAACCCAAAAACCTCAAACCCAGGCATTTACGAAGCACAAGCGCAACTCTGATGACCTCAGGCTGCTGCGGATTTGGGGGGTCTTCAGTTCTAAGGAACCCTCCGCCCCAAACCCAGACCCGAAAGCCAACCCTAACACCCAAAAACCCTAGTTAGTACCCCCCCCCCCCCCCAAAAAAAAAAAAAAACCTAAAACCCACACCTCAAAACAACCCTAAAGCCCTAAAAGGTTAAGCCCCAGAAGGCCCCTAAACAAAAGAAGCCGGGAGCCCCCCTCAACAACGCTGACCCTAAACCCTAAACCCTAAACCCTAAACCCTAAACCCTAAACCCTAAACCCTAAACCCTAAACCCTAAACCCTAAAAAGCCGCTCCTCATCCAGGAAGTCTGCCTCGATGCTGAAGTAGCCTGGGCGAGACGAGGCTTTTGAGGGGTTTAGGGTTTAGGGTTTAGGGTTCAGGGTTTTTGAGGCTTAGGGGCTTTTATTGGGCCGCCCTGCTTTTCGGGGCCTTTAGGGTTTTAGGGGATTAGGGTTGCTTCCAGGGTTCTTGGCATTTAAGACGAGAAGGCCTCCAGGCCAAGCCCAACATCCCTGTCAAATCCTAAGCAGCTCCGTCTACAAGTCCATCTGCACCTCAAATCAGGTACCGTTGCGAGGTACGCTAAACCCTAAACCCCAAACCCTAACCCTAAACCCTAAACCCTAAACCCTAACCTCAGGCTTACAGAAGAACCAGGCCCGCTGGCGTGCAGCGCCCTCGCCCCATCGCTCGCCATACTCGGCCTGCGCAACTTCACCCTAAACATCCCTAAACTCTAGACAACCCGAAGTGGGCCATCAGGGTTTGGGGCGACATGATGACATGGTTAATCGCAGGCAACATATATAAAAAAACATAGAATTATGTATGGCCGCCGACTTTGCTGTAAGCCCACAGCGGAATCAGTAAGAGCTACTGAGGCCCCCAAGGCCTAAACCCTAAACCCTAAACCCTCAACCCAAAACCCTAAACACTAACACCGACCAAACCTTCCTAAGCTCCGGTGTCCGGAGCCCTTGGGCCCTTGATACCCTTGATACCCCCGCTGCGAGTGTAGCATCTGATGCCTGGCGCCCTTGTCGCGCGGCAGCATGGTAATTCCTGGGCATCCCAAACTCGGCTGGCGCTTAAAATCCTCCTGAAAAAATCCTGAATGTTTCTTCAATCCAAGAAGGAAAAATGTGAAATGTCCCAAGGGCATCCCAACGATTTGGGATCCCAAGCCCTAAGATCCTAAACCCTGTTTGGGTTGACGGGGGCTTTACAACTCGGAAAGGCTCTCAAAAGGCTGCTATGTTTCCGAAGATTCCGGTCGGTATCAGCAAGCAAAACAGGCAAAGCTTGAACCACAGGGGCTAATTAGAATGGTTTGGGTGGGGGTTAAATAGTAATTATTTCCCCCCTCAGGAAAGCTGCTCGGAAACTGAAGGGCCAGAACAAAATGCATACCCTTTCCTCACAAGGGGCCTTGGGTCTACTTGGAGGTTTATGGGTATTTCTAAGTACGGCCCTACGTATGGTAGCTACAGCTTTTGCCTCAGTTAGGGCACGTATAACCCTACTTATATACGTACCCACGAAGGTCCAAGTAGTGTTTTAATCTCATCAAGAAATGAGGTTCTTTGCTAAGGAAGTTAAACTAAGTTGCCGCAACAGGGCTATCTAATGGTGAACAAAAAGCGCGCCCACACTCTGGCAACTTACTTTGAGTTCCTCAAGAAGTTCCCAGGCTTTGGGGTTCGGATCTCAATAGGTTGAAAACCCCTAAACTTCAAAATCTCGATTTCCGCCCGTATGTCCTAAACGCCTTAGCCCCCTTCCATGCATACACCTTGTGCAAACAAAACGATGTGTAAGAGTCAGAGTAGCAATGGCAAGAGCAATATCAGAAGTAAAAGAAAGCGTAGTGCTCTGTACAACCCTTTTCCAGCGGCATACGCCCCCAAACCTTGCACAGCTTCGCATCTTGATTTCACTATTTATTTCTCTGGCTCTGCTGCTGCAGCAAACGGACTCTAGTGAATCATTACTATTTATATTGCTGTCAATCATGCTATCATGCTTTTTGAACCCTTTCATCTATACACTGTTGAGTTTTGGAGCTAGTTCTTTCCCTGTTAAGCTTTGTCGTTCTATTCTGCCCACATTCATTTCAGTTCCATGTGGCTTTGATTCTGGTCCCCGAAGGTGCCATACGCGAGTGCTAAAGGGCTGGAGTCTGCAATGCAGGCTCGGAGTTCCGGGGCTTGGGGTGGCGCTTAGGTGTTCCTTGGGGGAGGGGGGGGGTCGCTTTTCCCTAAACCCTATACCCTACACCCTCAACCCCTAAACAGGGCTTTTGGGGGTTTTAGGACTTACGGCGGAGTGTGGTAAACCCCTCAGCCCTAAAGGCCTCAAGGAGACCAGGGTTTCGGGTTTAGGGTTTCAGGGTTTATCAAGGTTTAAGGTTTAAGGTTTGGGATTTAGGGTTTAGGATTTAGGGTTTAAGATTTAGGGTTTAGGGTTTAAGGTTTAGGGTTTAGGGTTTCGGGAGCCAAGGTGCAAAGGCTCGGCAGCCGGCGGCACGTGGGCGGAATCCATGGACCCGCCTCGACGGCTGGGGGAAGCCAGGGGGGCGAGGAATAGGATTGCCTCGTTACGGTTTAGGGTTTAGGGTCTAGGGTTTGGGGTTTGGGGTTTAGGGTTTTAGGGTTTTAGGGTTTTGGGGTTTTAGGGTTTTAGGGTTTTAGGGTTTTAGGGTTTTAGGGTTTTAGGGTTTTGGGGTTTTAGGGTTTTAGGGTTTTAGGGTTTTAGGGTTTTGGGGTTTAGGGTTTTAGGGTTTTAGGGTTTTAGGGTTTTAGGGTTTTAGGGTTTAGGGGTCGAGGGTTTTAGGGTTTAGGGGTTTAGAGGTTTAGGTGTTTACGGTTTTAGGGTTTTTGCGGTTTGGGCGAGGAATTCGAGTGCCTCGCTTGTTTAGAGTTTGGGGTGTAGGGTTTTAGGGTTTAGGGCTTCTACATCCGCATTACTTGGCCAGCAGAAGCTGGCCACGCAAGGCTCCACGCACTTCAGACCCCTGCACTCTCAAGGCTCATAGGGAATTTTCCGGGTCAGGCGTCTAACACCTCCACTCCCGAAGCTAAGGACATGCCCAAAACCCTTCTAAACCCCTCAAGCCCTGCCAAGCTGTTCCCAGAAGTCCCTTAAACGACAAAACCAACTGCCCCCCCCTCTCCTCCCTCCTCCCCAACCTTCGTAACGTTACAGAGGATCCCAACTGCTGTAGGAGCCGAGTAGTAGCCTAAAATAGGGGCACCATATTTGGGGTCCTTGTGATATAAGGGAACTCTACTATCGGGGGATCTAAATTGGGGGTCCCCTGTGTCCCCCATGTTCTGGGTCTCCGACTGGCCCTCTGAATCGCAGCCATTTTTTCGGCGCCGTTGCAGAGATCAATCCTCACTTCGATCGAATCACGCTGACAGATTGAGAGGTCTGGAAGGCTTGAGGAAGACCATCCGAATCCGTTTCGCTTTTGGGGTTTGATGTTTAGGGCCTTAGGGTGTCGGGACGCCTCAAGTGAAAGTTCGGGCACGCACAGGGAAGTTGCTGTAGATTGTGGTCCCTGCTGCACCCTTGATATGCATAAGGTCCTGTATTCAAATTGCAATAAGTGCCCAAGAAGGAACCTACCATCTGGAGCCATCCCGTGATTTGCTTATCTTCTCTGAGCCTGAAACTGCTAAAGACTCATTGCGCGTCCAAGTCCCAGGCAGCAAGACCACGGTGTCCGCGCCATGAGGCCCCTCCCTCTCAGTGGGTCAGGGGCCAACAAGAGGGGAGTCGGGATTTAAAGTTTAAGAGAGGTGGGGTTTAAGGAGTGAGCCTCTTGGGCCCTTGCCATGCCGCACACATCGGTAAAGAAGGCTTCAATTCTTGGTTCAGGCATTCTCAAGTTAGTACAGGGGTCGGAAAAGTTACGAATAGTATTCCCTTAGGGTCCCTGTATAATTATACTATAATACCCACCCCAAAACCCTGCTGTACCTATGAAGGCCTTGTATTGGTCAGGTTGCAGGGCGCAGGATCGTGGCTGACATGTGCCTACATTGCACCTCATGCTGTGCGAATTCTGCAACACAGGCTGGAGCCAAGAGGCCAAGGCAACATGGTGTGCGGCTTGGGTCATCGCAGCCACTGCAAACGTCTGCGATCCGTCCAACAGGGGTCAAGTCTCGTCAATACTCCTATTCGGGACTTCAGGGAACATCCTTTCAGAATTCAGAGCCGCCCTCTTTGGGGTTACAACAAAGCTAGCAGTCATGGCAGTCACAAGCCAGAAGGAAAGTTTCAGGCTTTATGGGGAACATGAAATCTGACATCATATCTGAAACGTGGATGCCCTGGGTCACGGCTTCTTTAAACATTGCTCACTGCTGGATAACGACTTGGATAGCGTCCAGCAGCTCACATCTCCAAGCTGAGGCACAGTCTCCTGCATCGTGAGCACCGTTGAAGCAAACCCTAAACCCTAAACCCTAAACCCATGAAGCAACCACGCACAGGGCATGCCTGAGCAGACCCAGCCATCTTTGCCCTGTAGCAGTGCTTCAGCGGCCTAGCCAGTGTTCACAAGCTTTGGGTACAACTCGGATCCTACAGTAAGGCCCTGAAGCACCCTAAACCCTAAACCCTAAACCCTAAACCCTAAACCCTAAACCCTAAACCCTAAACCCTAAACCCTAAACCCTAAACCCTAAACCCTAAACCCTACCCTAAACCCTGAACCCTGAAGTTCCCAAAAGCCCAAAACACTGAAGTCCCAGGTCCTCATAAGCAGGTCGAGGGCAAGCGCTAGCTCCTCGACCTTGCCAGGTTGTCTTCTCCCTCATTCAGGGTTTAGGGTTTGGGGTTCTTAGGGTTTAGGGTTTAGGGTTTAGGGTTTAGGGTAAAACACCAAACCCTGGCACCCCCCGAAAGCCTACCAGGCCCTTTCCGAAGGCAGCTGCGCGGTCCAACCACTCCATCTTGTGGGCGTCTCGCCCTTAAAAGAACGCCCCTCAAGCCCCTCAAGCCCGAGAAACCCCTAAAGCCCCTAAACCCTAAACCTTCGCGCGTGCCCGCAGTCCCAGCCAGACAATACAACAAAAGACTCCCAGCATCTCTGCACTTGGCATTTGGTTCCTCCGACTGCTGAGCCCTGGTTTGTCAATCCAAAGGCACCCCAAAAAGCTTGATCACTCCTTTCGCTTTGAATCACATGAGCACCCACAAAAAAAATCTTATGTAAATGCTAATTAAAAAATAATGGGGTATTGCTTTTTGGGGGGGGGGGGGGCCCTATCGCTTTATGGGACTTTAGCTCAATGCTGCTACGAAAACCTATCGCTTTACTGCATATGAGACCCGAAACCTGCAACCCTACCGTGAAAACTCCTGAATTCTTAAACCCGTTTCCTTTCTTTAGGGCCTATAAATCAAAGAGTGTGAGTGCTCCTTTTCCAGGAGCTGGAGCTCTCGCTGCTCGAATCAGAAATCCATATCCTAAACCTGGAACCCTCAACCTGGGCCAGGGCCTTTGCCCAGCTCTTCGGGTGGCCAAATGGGTATCGTAGGGTTATCGCTTTCAGTATCGCTCTGGAATAGCACCCAACACCCGAAATCATGACATGGTTGCAGAACGACTTCTAAATTCAAGATTCAGGGTATCGCTTTTGGGGGGGGGCCTATCGCTTTCCGAGGTTTCAGGCACGACATAAGGTTTTTATCTCCGCCACAATAGACCTCCTGCAACATAATAAAAGTAGTCGCTCACATGCCCCTCCCTGTCCCTGTAGGGTTAGGGTTCAGGGTTTAGGCTTTAGGGTCTCTCACTCTCTCCCTCCCTCCTGGCCTTGCGCTTCTCGATGTTGGGATCCTGCTGCTCAAAGGAACAGTGACGGAGAGCAATTTTTCCCTGGGTTCAAAGCCCTTCAAATCCCCAAACCTTAGACCATGAACTTCAATCCTGAACCTTTTGGGGGCAGGAATTTCTGCGCCAAGCCCATCCATAACCCCCCCAATGAGCAAAGAAAGCCTCCCCCCGCACCCCCCCTTTTTCGCAGGTCCTCAACGACTCTTAGTCGGAAAGCGCGGGCCAACATCTCCTTGGCTTCCTGTTAAGGAATGTAGGAGCAGAGTTGAGGGATGTTGAAGGTGGGTCGAAGTGTAAAACCCCAAAAAGAGCCTAGCCGCCCCAAAAGCCCTCAGCCTCTAAGCCCAACAAGCAGTGCAAACACCTCCCCTGAAACCTCTATCGCTGGGTCAGGCAACCTGGCCTATAATTGTGGTGTCTCCTAAACCCTAAACCTTCAACTCTAAACATCAGGCTTCCTAAACAACAGCTTGCTGAGTGTCCCGGAGAAGACACCCAACCTTTGATTCTAATGACATTTGCAATGCCCAAAAGGGTTACAGGCTCCCTACCACCCTAAACCATCCTGCGCAATTTGGGAGTTTACGAAAAACAACCTGAAAAATAGACCCCCACATAGTAGGATTCAACAGAACAAGGGACCCCAATAAGGTACCCCTAATTTCGGAAACCCCCCATTTAAGTAGACAACAACTAGAGGTCCTCTTTGGGCTTCTGCTTCAGCTCCTCTCTGGACAGCTGGAGCGCCTGCACGTCCGGAGTTTAGGGCTTTGGATTTCTAGGCAGGCTGAGGGGCCTAAACCCTACACCCTACACCCTACACCCTAAACCCTAAACCCTAAACCCTAAGGTCCCAGTTTACGCAACTTTGAAAAACTTGCAGGCTACGGAGACCCCGCCGTTAGGCACGGGGTGGGGGGGTTAGTCCTCCATGGAAGATAAGGGGGGGGGGGTTAGTTCTCCGGGATTATGAAGGGGGGGAGGGGTGACGGGCGTTGGGGGGGGGGGGGAAAGACTACAAACTACCCCCTCATACTCCCTGGAGGACTAACCCCCCCCCCCCCCCCTCATACTCCCTGAAGGACTGACCCCCCCCCCATTCTCCCGAAAGACAAACCCTCCCCTCATAACCCCCCCCCTCTTTGACTACGTCAGAAAGGATTTTGTTCTCATTTGGATTGTACTCTAATTCTCTATCAATTCTCTACTTCTCTAATTTTCGAAGAATGAATACAAAAAACAAAAAACAAGAAACGAGGGGGGTGGAATTTAGACAAATTCTCTACTTCTCTACTCATTCTATCCCAGCAGACCGACAGTGTAGGACAATAGGGCAATCTGAGCAAATGGGGGGGCTGCGCCCCCCCAACCCCCCCGCTTTTTGATCGACTACTACTACTACTATTACTACGACTACTACTACTACTACTACTACTACTACGACTACTACCACTACTACTTCTACTACTACTACTACTACTACTACTACTACTACTACTACTACTACTACTACTACTACGACTACGACTACGACTACGACTACGACTACTACTACTACTACTACTACTACTACTACTACTACTACTACTACTAGTACTAGTACTAGTACTAGTACTACGACTACGACTACGACTACGACTACTACTACTACTACTACTACTACTACTACTACTACTGTTGTTTGGGGGGGGGGAAAGACTAACCCCCCCCCCCCCCTATCCCCGAAGACAAACCCCCCCCCCCTAAATACTCCCGAAAAACAAAACCCCCGCCCCCCCCCCTCTCATACAAACCCCCCCCCCTCACACTCCCGGAAGACAACCCCCCCCCCTTCATACTCCCAGAAAACAAACCCCCCCCCCCCCCCTCATACTCCCGGAAGACAAACCCCCCCACCCCGCTAACGGCGCTACCTGAGGCTACGCCGCGCAAACAAAGGTCCACACGTCGACTTCGGGAGTCTTAGGCCGATGTCAAGGCTCTCTCACCCCGTGTCTGATTGTGTAAGATTTTAGGGTTTAGGGTTTAGGTTTAGGAAAGTTTTTGTATTTCTAGCATCCCTGAAAAGGCACCCGGTATGCACACGCACCGGGATACGGAGCCCAACCCTACGTCATGTCGCTGAGAAGGAGGGTTAAACAAGTTAATTACTGTCCTTATAACCCACCCTAGCTAATGCCACTATGTTAGCGAGGAAGCTTCGCCCGAAATCGAAAGATACCGCAGGCAGGTGTTGAGCCAATGTTGACATCCTCGAGGCTTTCCTAAGGCCCAAAACCCGTTGTAAGCAAGCGAATTGACTGAAACCCGTCAGACCTGCGTAATCCCGAGCTCCCACCTATCCTCAAACTTTTGAGAGTTAAGGCTTCGTCAGTTTGGGGGCTTAGGGTACAGGGTTCAGGGGTGTCAGGGTACAGGGGTCCAGGGGTTTTCTACTATTTGCTCAAGAACCCCCAAAAACAAAACACGATATAAATAAATAGAAAATGGGACGCTGTGGGAGTGCACTTTTTCCGCAAAAAAACACATGCAAATCCTAAAAACAACCTAAAAACACACGAACAGCGTGAACAAAAAAACACACACACACAACAAATCCCCACAAAAACCAAAAATAAAAGAACCAAGAAAAAAAAGAAAACAATCCTGAGGGACTCTGTTGGGGAGCCGGACCCCTGGGAAGAGTCTCTCAGGATTGTTTTTTGTTTGTTTTTTTTGGTTTTTTGGGGGTTCTTGTGTAAGAAAACCAAAAAACCAAAAAAACCAAAAAAACCAAAAAAACCAAAAAAACCAATCCTGAGGGACTCTTTTGGGGAGCCGGACCCCTGGGAAGAGTCTCGCAGGATTGGTTTTTTTGGCTTTTTTGGTTTTTTTGTTTTTTTTGGTTTTCTTGGTTTTTTTGGTTTTTGGAGGGTTTTTGTGCAAGAAAACCAAAAAAAACAATCCTGAGGGACTCTATTGGGGAGCCGGACCCCTGGGAAGAGTCTCTCAGGATTGGTTTTGTTTTTGTTTTTTTGTTTTTTTTGGTTTTTGGAGGATTTTTGTGTATTATTGGAGATGTTTCTGTATCATTTCCTTTTGTACGGTTTTTCGGTATCTTCTGAAGGGTGTTTTTTGGGCCTTCTTTAGGTTCTTTGGTGTTATTTCCTTTTTGTACGTTTCTTGTTTGTACAGTTGTTTCTGTTATTTGTGTTGTGTGTGTGTTGTTTATTTCTGAGTGCCCTTTTGTACGTGACAAACGCGCTAACATGGACAATCAAGCACACCGCATTACCAAAAAAAATCGAATCCAGCAGAGAGTACCAAAACTTCCATATAGTCAATCACGGCCCAATACGCAAAACATGACATCTATCCTGAAAAACTATACCTTAGCTAGGATATTTCAAGCAATCATCCCCCAATAAGCAAAACCTAATATCTATACTAAACACTGTACCTTAGCAACATATTTTAAGACATCACGCCCTAAGGCTCCTACCAATTTAATACGGTTCCTATCAATTTAAACAGCGGTCTTATTCATGTTACTGGGATTCGCAAAGGTATAGTTCTTGTTAAAGGATCCTATTGTTTTTCAGGCCTATTGGTTCCTATTCATTTTAGTAAGATTCATTCTCGTCCTAATAGGATTCCTGTGAATTATAACCCGGTTCTTGTTGATTTGTCAAGGGTTCCTATTCATTTTAATAGGCTTCCTTCCTATTACCTGTTTTCCGGTTCCGATAATTTAATAGAGGATTCCTATTTATTTTCATAGGATCCCAATAAAGTTTCATAGGGTTCCTAATTACTTTAAAAAGGCCCCTACTCATGTAATAAGATTCCTATCCTTTTGTTGTCAGATTCTTATTCATGCTAATGGGATTCGTTTTTAATATTAATAAGGATCTCATCCACTTTCAAGGGATTCCTATCGATTTAGGCTCATGTTCATTTTCGTAGGATTCTTATTATTTTTCTAGGGGTTCACATTTTTTATAAGGGTCCGATTGGTTCGTGTTAATTGTAGTAGGGTTCCTCTGCAGTTTAACAGGGTTCTTATTAATTCTACGAGGATTCTCCTTAATTTTGAAGGGCCTCCAATTCATATTCAGAGGCTTCCTATTGACTTTACGGCGCCGATTAATTTTAAATAGGGTTCCTATGGATTTAAATGGAGGATTCCTATTGTTGTTTCTAATAAACTTGGCCCATTTATTTAGAAAACGGGGACAGTAACTCAGGTCAGGACATACACTGTATCGCTGCTTTGTGTTGGCGTACTTGCATGTTATGCATGTCTCGTGATTTTGTTTATATACAATACGGGTACGTTGCGAGAGTGCTTTTAAAACGTCTTTCAATAAATGGAAAAAAGTGCACTCCCACAGCGTCCCGGTCTCAATAAATAAACAATAAAAGCAAAAAAATAAATCAAGAAAAAAACTATATATATATATACACATAATTATATTAAATATTAAATATTAAATATTAAATATTAAATATTAGATATAAGATAATAGATATTAAATGTTAATATTAAATATTAAATATTAAATATTAAATATTAAATATTAAATATTAAATATTAAATATTAAATATTAAATATTAAATATTAAATATTAAGTATTAAATATTATGTACTAAATACTAAATACTAAATATTAAATATTATATATTATACATTATTTATTATTTACTATATATATATATACATATTATATTATATTATGTATATGTATACGTTGTTTGGAGGGTTCTTAAGCAATTGGTCTTTCTGTGGTTGGTGTATCGGCTTCGGCGCCGGACACCTCATAGCACCGGTCCAAGGACATGCAGCGGGGGTCAATGCTGCTTTCGGCCTCGGAGGTTTAGGGGTTTAGGGGTTTCAGAGGTTTTTAAGGGTGTTTAGGGGTTAAGGGTTTTTAGGGGTTAAGTGTTTTTAGGGGTTTGGGGGTTTAAGGGGTTTCAGGGGTTTAGGGTTTAAGCGTTTAGGAGGGGTTTAGGGGTTTAAGGGTTTCAGGGTTTAGGGGGGTTTAAGAGTCTAAGGCTTATAGCTTAAGGGTTTATGGTTGAGGTGAGCGCGGGGAGTGACGGAGTTTTCAAGGGGGGAAGGGAGGCGCCCAACCTAACACTTCAGGGCCGGTTGAACAGTTTCAAGATCCTGGGAGCTCTGATCCCGAATTTCACACCTAGGGGCGAAGCCTTGGAGCATTGCAGCCTTGCTGACTACTGTTCCGCCAGTGGCGCCCGTTCACAGCCCCAAAAACCTAACCGAAGCAACTCTCAGAAGCCAGATCTCCCAGACCGAGGAGAGAGCCATCGCCGGCATGGCGCCGCCGATCTCCGCGATGGCGGAGGACGTGATGACCCTGACGGGACTGGTTTTGGTAGGGTTTAGGCTTTAGGGTTTAGGGTTGAGGGTTGAGGGTTTCGGGGCTTATAGCATGCCCCGGGCAAGGGTAGCCTTGGGACAGGGCTGCCGAATTAAAAACCCTCTGGCATCCTAGCAAACCCTGTTCAGCTCCATTAAAGTCCCTTAAGCCCAACCCGGGTCGGGTCAGCAACCTCAGCCACAGCGTCAAACCAAGCCTCACATGCTGAGCTCGAACTCCCAGGCCCTCAAACCCTAAACCCTATTACCAGAACAGAAACTGTATACCCTAAAGTTGTATTAAGTTGCAACCCAAACCCTCAACAAACCCAAATGGCCTGGTTGCAACCCCCTGGCGGGTGCCGATCTCTTTTGCGAGGGTTTCCATAGCCTGCTTAAGGGTTGTTAAGGCAAAGGGTCTGATGGGTTTTGAATGGTTCTGGTTCCAAGGCAAAACATTCTTATAGGAGGGAATTAGGGAACTCGGGCTATCATGCTTTGAATGGATATAGGGTTCCGAATTCCCGAGTCAAAGCTAGCAAGAAAAGGGTTTGGGGCTTAAATTGGGCAGGTGTTCTAGGGTGTTGGCGGGCTTGAATCAAGTTCGCTCTGGCCATTCTTTCGGAGGCTTCAGAGGCATTGGGCCTTAATTGGGCAACTGGGTTCAAGGGGTTCTGGGTTCTAGTTGTTCCGGGCTCTCAGCCCTAAGTCTTTTTGTAATGCAAGCAACCAGTCTATGGTGTGAAAGTTAGTGCTTTCCTAAAACTCCAGGGTTTCTAGAGGTTCAGGGTCCTAAACATTTAAGTCTTCCGGAGTGCGTTGCGTGAACCCTAAAGCCTAAGGGCTTAGGGTAAACCCTCAAAAGTTTCGAGTTCCGGGGTTTCAAGGGGCCTGGGCTCTTCCCTCTGACGCAAAAGTCTCGGCCCCGAAGCTCCCTTGGATTGAAGGGGTTTAGGGTGCTTATGGGTTTGGGGTCTGAACTGGGGCGGGAAGTTTCATTGGAATGTGTGTGTGTTTTTTCCAGGGCAGCTGGGATGACTCCTGTGTGTATAAATCGGTTAGCAGGGAGGGAGAGCAGCCGTGCTTTAAACTCCTAAACATGAGCTTCAAGCGTTGCCCTTCTGGGGTCCTTCTCGGTTGGGCTAGGGGTACGTGCGGCTCCGCACTTTCCGCGCTTTTTTGGGGGGTTTAGGGTTTAAGGGTTTCTTACGGGCTCGTAGTACGGGAATGAGGTCATTCGGTGACCTAAATACAGTATCCCTCTGTTTAAAGACACCCTCTAGGAAGTCCTAGCCGCTGAATCCCACCCAAGGGCTGGGCCTCGATATCTCCCATAACATCGGCCTCAGGTGAGGGCTTGGAGAAGCCACCCAAAGCCCTAAAGCGGACCGAGTGCCCTTGTGGGACCGCTAGCTAACCTCAGCTCGGGGTCCCCACAGGCTTAGGGCTTAGGGTGTACCAGTAGGGCTTTGGGGGTTGAGGGGTTTCGGATGGTTTAGGGTTCAAGGGTCAAGGGTTTAGGGTTTTTTAGGATGGTTCATTGCCCCAAAGGCCCCAGGCCACCCAAACACGCTGATCGCCGAGCGGCGAAGTGCCCTCGAGCTTCATCCCAGAGAATCACTTGCCCATGAGGAGGAGAGGCCTGTTTCATGGCCCTATTCTGCATACACCCCACATTAAACCCTAAACCCTAAACCCTAAACACAAAACCCTACACATCATCTTCATCTCAGGGTGTTAAACTTGTGAAGGCTGCGGGGCTTCATGGCCCAGAGTCTTCACGTGGAGGTGTGGTTGGGCGTTTGGGCCCGTGTCCCAAGTCAAGGGCCCTTAGTATTGGCAGCTTGGGAGATCCTTCAAAAGCCTCCAGTGAGGGTAGGGAAACACTAGTTCATGATTGGCGTGCATTAAACGCTCAAAACATTCTATTCCTTATTGAGTTCACGCACCCTTAAACATGCAAAATCCCTAAACCCTAAACCCTAAACCCTAAACCCTTACCCCACTATGACAACGAGGTGAGGCTGCAAGGGGCCTGTGGCTCCTTGCGCAGGCCCAGCTGGCATTCCCAGAGCGGGGACACCTCCAAAAGGCCCCCAAGGATCATAACACTCGTTTAAACTCATCAGGGGCAGGTTTAGGGTTTAGGGTTTAGGGTTCAGGGTTTAGGGTTGGGGGCTAGGGCCCCCACCTCACTCCACAACCATGACGCATCGGTTTGACTTACTGGCTGAGTTTCGGGGAGGCAAAGGTTAACCTTTGATGTAAAGTTATCAGCATAGAAGGCACGCAGAAGAGGGTGGCATTCAACACCAGGGTGGTTGATTGTTCAATGAATTCAGCAAGAAGCTAAGAACCCTAAACCCTAAACCCTAAGCCCTAAGCCCCCGAAACGGAAAGGTCCCCCGGAGTGTCTCACGAACTAAGGAATCAGGATTTGAGAAGCGGACACCCGAACTTCCCAACCCCCACAAACCCTTGCCCACCCACCTCCCAACCCTAAACCCTAACCCTAAACCCTAAACCCTAAACCCTAAACCCGATTAAAAATGACTACGCCTGGCCTGGACTGAGCCTGGAAGGCTCCGGCCCAGTAGCCGAAACCAGTTTGGCAGCTGCCGAAAGACCTTGGGCTTTCAGCTCAGACCTTGAGGGGGGACTCTGGAGGTCTTGTGGTTCAGGAGTATGTCTGATTCTTCAAGGGGTTTAGGGTTTAGGGTTTAGGGTTTAGGGTTTAGGGTTCAAGGCAAGTGTTAGGATTTGACAGCTCGGGGTTCCAAAGGCATGCTTCTCGCACCCTCAAGCGTTCAGGAGCTTTAGATTTGTTGGGATGGTTCTAAGGGTAGTTACATGGTCCCTTAGTATGGGCCCTTAAAAGGGTACCCCTTATATACCATATAACTACCCTAAGAACGGGGGGGTAGGGCAGTCAGGGGGAATTAGGATGGAAGCGCTTCGCCCAGGACTTGTTGCGTGAGCCTACAGGGCTAGCTGCTGGCTGAGTTTTCTAGGGGGGAAGAAAGGGTTAGGGTTTAGGATTTACGTAGGGTTTAGGGTTTAGGGTCTAGGGTTTATCGGGGCTCATCCTACCCCAAAAGGGCTCCGTGTAGCAGTGTAGCTCCTCTAAGGGAACTCATCACCCAACGCATGGTATCACTTTCTCACGCTGTTCTTTCAAAGCCCAGCCTAAACCCCTCAAGGTCTGCCCAGGGCACGCCCGCAATGCGCCGCAGAACCGTGGTGGCGCCCGGGGGCCCTGAGGGGCCTCCCATGGCACCAACGGCTCAAATTTGGGAACTTTTGAAAGCGGAGGAAAGCCTTGTGTCAGGTAGAGGGAGTCGGGTCCTCCCATGGCGCCAGCAGCTCAACATTTTCGGGGAGCGAAGGGTCTTATTTCAGGGTTCAGGGTCTGAAATCATCAGCTTCGCAAGCCCCAGCCCGAATTCCAGTGGTAGAAATGGAGGCCGACTAACTGCTAAGACACTTGCGGCATATATCCTCAGCCTCAGAATGCAAGCCTCTGAGCTCTAAACCCTAAGAGTTGTGCGCCTCCCGCCGTTCCAAGCAGCCCGGTCAGCATCAGCAGGGGCTGAAACAGCCTGGCTCCGTCTTCCTCTCTCTCCCTCTCAGTATGTGAGTTGGCGTCGAAGCTCCTAGTTCATGCATGACATATCCTTTGTAAAGTGCCTTGGATAAGATAGTTTTGCTTGTAGGGTTTCCAAGCCCAGCAGTTAACACGACGAGGAACTTAACTCCAAGGGCGGAACCCCCGAACTTGAGTCACACCTGATCGTGTAGGTGCGAAGATACCCTGTAAGCTCTTACTACGAAGAACAAGCAAGTGAACTCACCGTATTTGCTGCTGCCAAGCCGTTGCATGGCTTGCCACTCGGACTTATGGCTCTAAACCCTAAACCCTAGGCCCAAAACCCAAAACCCCAAACCCAAAACCTTAGGATTTAGGCCAACGACACTGTGGCCAACACAAGGGTTTGCAGGAACCTCACCCGAAGAACAAAGTGGGACACGGGGAGCCCCCCGATATCCTTGTAAACAAGTAAACAACACCCAACCTGCAAATCCAGGGCCTGGAAAAGAAGGTGCCGTTTCCGGGAAGATATATCAGCCTCAGCAGTTTTTGTTTGGAGCCGAGCTGTTTTTGTGGCAGTGGGTAGCGCTGTGCTGCTGTACAAGCAACCAAGCAAAAACACGCGGGCCATGGATCATTCGTCCCTGTTCCCAGTCATTTGAGCCATGCCCAGAACCCAACACTTCTCAGCCCTAAACGCTAAACCCTAAACCCTACATCCTAAACCTTAAACCCTAAACCCCTAAGAGCGCTGACAAAGGGACTCCACCCCCCACCCCCCCAAGTGCGAATGCAACGCCAGCTCAGCGTAATGATGACCTGGCCGTTGTCTAAGATGCGCGGCTGCATTTGAGGCCTGAGCCGATTTTTTCAGGCGGTGAGGAGTCTTAGCTGTTTCTTGCAAAGCCTTTAGAAGTTTCAGGGTGAGGGACTAGGAAATCTCTGCATTCTGTGTTCTCATGACCCGACCTTCAGGAGGTGTTCGGTGCAGCATGGGTTGACGGCCATGCAGGGAGAGGTTCATGGGAGTGCTAAGTAGGGCTACAAGTACCCTAAATAAGGTTACAATTACAACTATAGTTGCCATACTTATACCCCTGCTTCTAAATACAAATGAACCTCCAAGAACACCATCTGAGTGCCGTGCACGTCCTCATTGAGCTCCTTCTCAATGAGCCGAGTAAACTTGCCATCGCCGACGGACCTCACACGGAAAGATTCAGAAGCCGGAGCCCTAAACCCTTAAACCCTAAACTGTCCCTCAGCTGAGATGCGAACATTTGGGCCTCTAGTGGGACGTATCGTGCTCCAATGAGAGGTTAGAACTTACCTGCTCGGCACCTTGGTGGTGTATGTATAATGTAAATATATATTATACATACATATTTATGTATATTCACACTGACATATATATATATATATACACAGATATGAAACTTGCGACGCTAGCAACATTCCCTTCCCCCGCCCAGCCCCGAGCCCTCAAAGGAACCCGTTTCATCCTCTACACCTTCCATGGCGAGGGGCAGCTCGTCCATAGCAGGATGTCTATTGAAGTCGCGCCTTGGCTGATGCTCTTTTGATGGTGCAGGCTGTCAGGGTCTGGGTTGGTTCATGAGTCTACGGGTAGGGTTCTAGGCACCTGTATCTTCATTGGGGATATGAATGCAGGTGCCTTCTCATTAAACGATCTGAAGAATATTCCTGAATACGACCCTCTTAAATCTTGCCCACCCAACGAGGGGAAATAGAATCCTCCAAGGTCCCTACAAGTAGCACCCTAAACCCTAAACCCTAAACCCTAAACCCTAAACCCTAAACCCTAAACCCAAACCCTAAACCCTAAACCCTAAGCTCAACGAATTATTCAAACAATCGCCTGGCGGAAGCTTCGAGTGGGCTTGGAGTTTTTTCGGGCAAGCCTCTGCCACCACCATGCCATGGGTGTCTTACAACCCCCACAGCTTCAACTCTAAACCCTAAACCCTAAACCCTAAACCCTGAACCCTAAACCCTAAAGACATGTAAAAGCAACACCCAAGCCTCGAATGCCCAACGCAGCTTGGCAGCAAAGTTCGGATGGCCACCACGATGCTTCGACACAGGGCAAAGGCCTCGAAAGCTTCGCAGAAGCAGAGCATGCCCCCCACACACCACAAAAATAGACCCTAAACTCTAAACCCTAACCTCTCGACCCTAGACTCTGGACCCTAAACTCTAAACCCTAAACTCTAGACCCTAAACTCTAAACCCTAAACCCTAAACTCTGGACCCTGAAGTCTAAACCCTAAACTCTAGACCCTGAACCCCTGAACCCTAAACCCTAAGCCCTGAACTCTAAACCCTAAACTCTAAACCCCTAAACCCTAAACTCTAGACCCTGAACCCTAAACTCTAAACCCTAAACCCTAGACCGTAAACTCCAGCTGAGCACGCAGCCATGGCAGCCACTGCCACCAGTCCGAGGCGCGAGCGCAGGAACCTGGGCACTCAAGTGTTTACTTGAAGGGGCCAAAAGAATTCGGGTTTAGGGTTTAGGGTTTAAGGCTTAGGGTTTAGGGTTTAGGGGCTAGGATAGGGTTTCGGGGTTTGGGCTTGAGGGTTTAGGGTTTAGGGTTTCGGGCTACCAAAGGGGCCTGAATTATTGGAATAGGGTTTTGGGGTTCTTATCGTACAGTTACAAAGGGACCATAAATAAGGGAATAGTATCAGAATTATTCCGACCCCGAAAAAACTTGACGGGCCGGAGGGCTCCCGGATGTTCATGCTTTTGGGGTTCCAGGCTTCTGTTTGGGGCTCGGGGGTAGTTAAGGGTTGCGGAGTTTTCGGGCTCGAGCTGCAGCTTTGGGGGGGCGATTTTTGCTCGAGCTGGTGAGATTTCCTGCGGCGTGCATGTTACGTTGAGTTTTTCGTCCTGAAGCCATCAGAATTTGATGAAACCCAAGATCACTCACCACATCACGCAACCTTGACAGCCCCCCAATCCCCCAACACCCGCAGAAAAAGCCTTCAAAGCCCGCTAATTCCTGGCCCCCAAAACAGCAAACTCGCTCTAAACCCCAACTTCACTTTTAACCCCGAAGCCCACCTTTGCCTCAGTTACGTGCCACCTGTGGGCAAATGCCCGAAACACTAAACCCTAAACCCTAAGCCCTAAAGCGGGAGTCAGAATGAAACGCAAGAAGGCAGCTCGTGGCGAATCTGCTCATTGTCCGCCACCGTCCCATGGATGTGGAAGGCCTTGCTGCGTGGCTGGCGCTATGGTTGAGTCAGCTTCGGGATCGAAGAGTTGGGGGGTTGGGGGGAACACGCACTCCTCTCCTGTCACAGTTGATGAATGTAGTTGATGTGGGGCTCAGTGTTTTCTCCATGGGGCGTGTTTGGGGGGCTGGTTTCTTCGCAGCCCCTTTCGCCGAGTCCCCTGCCAAAGGCAGTAGTCCCCCTTCATCTGCAGACCTTGCGGGAAGGTTGTCCAAAGTCGGTCGAAATCTCAAGGCTTGCTCGAATCTAGTTTTACTTCTGGTCCGCTCATCTGATTGTGGCCTGCTGCGTTGCACGCAAGTCGCTGGCAAGTGAGGGTTTATTTCAAGTTCGGGAATTACACAAGCCGCCCAAGTATACCCTAAAAGCCACCCTTGGTACCCTGAAGGCAGCCCCAAGATCTTAAGACTTAGGCGGGCCGCGACTTCCCAAGGTTTTGGGATTAGGGTGAAGATCTCCCAACAAGCAAAACCCCCAAGCTCCAAGACACGGAGCCCTACACGCTAAGCTCCGAACCCCAAACGCTTTCAAGCCCCAGTTTAGGGTTTCGGGTTACCAAAACAAGCTAAGGACCCGGCCCAAGCTGCGTTTGTTTCTGGAGCCAGGACCTGGCAACAGGGTTTAGGGCTTGCAGCTGAGTTTTAGGGCTTTACGGTAGACGCTTCAGACATCCCCAGGCGTGTACGTTTGAGGGGGGGCTTCCATAATGAAGCCATTGGAGACCAACGGGGACGCTGAACTGTTCCAGTCCTCTGGATATCTATGGTGCCCACGTTGCTAACCACTTAAATACCCAAGCGCTTCTACATGTTGGGTTCAGGGTTTTCGGCCTCAGGAGTTTGAGAGGCGGATCTCACAAGCCGAGCGCATCTCTTGTTTGTAGCTTGCTGTGCCTGTGTCTTCGACGCCTAAATCCCAGATCCCCGTTTACACCCTAAAGAGGGCTTCGGATTGAAGCTGGAGCTTCTGGGTGCAGGGATTGTGGTGGGTTTTGGGGGTTTAGGACGCCGCCCGGTTTGGGGTTTAGGGTTTAGGGTGCAGGTGCCTTCCAGTGTGGCCCAAGCGGATGAGGCGCCCATGCGTGGCCTGCAGCTGGGGATTTTGAGGTTTAGAGGTTCGGGGCTTCTGGCATTTTTTGGGGGGCTTGGGCTACAGTAGGATTGTGTTAGTGGTTCTGACTGGGGAGTGAGGGAATGAGGTACCTTACCCTATATAGACCCTTTAGCTTAGGGATGATGATCTCCCTTCTCCCCTACTAAGAACCAGTAGGAACTGTTCATGCCAGGTTCTGTTTCCAAGGCACAAACCAGTAATCAGCGTACCACCAGGTTGTAGGGCTGCCATGCTTGGCGACGCGGGTGAAACGCTGAAGTTCCAAATCCTGAACCACATGTACCCCCGAAAGATTAACACCGTCAGTTCCCGAGCCCTCAGCCCCCTGAAAATCCCCAAGGCACCAAGTCCGATGCAATGAATCCTGACACAAGAGCCGTGGCTAAAGGGTTAAGGTTTAAGGTCTTGATTGGGTTTGTCTCCTGGCCGACTTGGGCAAGTAGCCTGGTGCGCCAGGCGCCGGTCGAAGATCGCAGGGTTCAGCTTCCTTGGCATGAGGGTGGAGGGCGACGCGTAGTGTAGGATTTAGGGTTTAGGGTAGGGTTTAGGGTTTAGGGAAGAAGGAAGTTCACGATGCGGGGTTCAGACTCGCGCTTTTAGTTTCCAGGGGCTCGGGATTCTTTGGATGCCTCAGGTCCATCCAAAGCTTCCGCAAAAGGGCTTGGAGTCTGGATCTCACGGCTTCGGCCTGTTTGTGGTTCCATGTGTCTTTCTGTACGTGTGCATATATATATATATGTATACATAATAATATATATATATATATATATATATTATATGTATATATATATATATGTATATGTATACACACCACCACCACCAATGCATGGTGCGGCGTGCTGCCCCAGCGGTCAGGGGCGGGGTGTCAGAATTTGATGTAGAACATTTTTCGGCGCACAATTTGCGTTTCAGTGTTCAGGGTTTAGGGTGCGTTTGTTTCCTAGGGTTGGAAAGAGTTTGCGGAGGGTTGTCGGGCAGAGATTCTTTAGGGTTTCGGGGAATAAGGGCTTTGGGTTTAGGGGTGGCGGTGGGGGATGAGGGTGGGGGGATACCATGGCGGGGGTGAGGGGGTGGGGGGGGGGGGGGGGGGGGGGGGTTGCTGACACGCGACATGGAGGCAAGCGTTCATTTTTAAATGTATTGAGCCGCGGACTACAACTACCTGTATACCCCTAAAGACATAAGTTTCAACTAGGGGCTCTATAAGGGTTACGATAGGAATAGAATACCTCTCCCCCTGGCAAATGCGTGAAATTCGAGTCAGGGCTCACGCAGCCCGAAACCTTCCATCCTACTTGGAAGTGCATGTTTAGTTACAACACCTTGCAGCTGGGGACATTGGCAAGGCAACAAAAGCCAGAAACGCATAAGCCTACTTGTATCAGCGCCCTGCGATTTACCCTTTACGAAACTTGGCTGCACTCAGGAGGGTAGCCATAAATTAAACTTTTAGCTGCCTTACTAAGACACCCAATAAACACCCTAAACCCTAAACCCTAAACCCTAAAAACCCAAAAAAGATAAGGATCTAAAGTTACGTAAAGTACCACAAAGGAAGCTGAGGCGCTTCGGCAGGAGCGCCAGGAGCCCGATCCACTTGGGCTTGGAGGAGTGTTCGCCCTTGCCATGCCTGGGGTGTTCAACTTAGAGGGGTTTAGGGTTTAGGGGGTTTAGGGGCCAGGGGGGTTTAGGGTTTAGGGTTTAGGGTTTAGGGTTTAGGGTTTAGGGTTTAGGGTTTAGGGTTTAGGGTTTAGGCCCCCCCCCCCCTAACAGAAGAGCAACTCTATTTGGGAACGCTGAACGGCCAGAACTAGGATTGCCAAAGACTTTCAAGAACGTTCTAAGGGTTTAGGGTTTGCAGTTTGTGCTTCTTTTCGTTTTTGGTAGGTCGTTGGAGTTTAGACCAGCAAAAGCCCCCGCAAACCCGAACTTTTGGGGCCACGTCTCATCTGCTACCAAACCGCGTTGAGCCCGAATAGCCGTGCCGGTCTCAAAACCTCCGAAGCTACTCCAAACCATCAACCATCAAACCGGTGATCGGAAGACGAGGGGCTTCTGGGGAAGCTTTCCCCAGTACAAAAGCATCAGGCGGCCGCCATCTTGGGCAGCCTGCTTCCCAAAGGCCTTGCGGACCACACACGCGAGATTCCTGCTTGATGTATGGGCTCAATCCAATGCCTCCCTAAGCTCTACTTCCCTAAGCCCTTAACCCTAAACCCTAAACCCCAATTTTAAAGCCCGAAACTGGTCGAGGGACTTGCTGGGGCTTCAGGGATTCTTTAAGCGCTGGCCTCCTTCTCCACTGCTTTTTGGCTTCAGGGTTCCAGGCTTCAAGTTCCATGTGCCCAAAAGCCTAAACCCCACCCCCCCCCCCCCTCCCAAACTAGTCTCAGCATCCCGATGACACTGGAAGCCCTCTATGGCCGAAACATCTTGTGATACGAAGGTTAGCCGGAAATATCGTCCCAAATCCAAAACCCCAACCCCTCACCCCCACGCGCGGAGAAATCCGGCACGTGCGTGCCTGGCTGATGAACTCGGTTTCCTTCCGTGAAGCGAAGGGTTACTTCCACCGAAACTTCGAAACTTCGAGATCCTAAATCCTACGCCCCAGAACCTAAATCCTGCGTTAAGGGTTTGGGGCTGGGGGAATCAAGCTGCCGGACCCACCATACCATAAACCTTTTTTTGTCGACAGGAAGGATTCAACATCATCGCCCTCTGTCGGAAGATGTATGTTGTGGGACCTAAGCCGCATGTATTCCTACTCCTCCTCTTTCTCCTGCATGGCTGTGAACTCCCTTTTGCCCGTTGTAGCCTCTAGTCATGTAGCCAAGCTCGGCATTCCCAGCTGTGCTAGGAATCTTTGCCAATCATGTGCAGAGCATGGAAGTATGTACGACTACGAAGAACCACAGTCGGCGCGCAGCAACAATGACAAGGTGGTTTCTCAACCTAAACCCTAAACCCTAAACCCTAAACCCTAAACCCTCAAGTTGCCCAACCCCTCTCTGCCTGCGCGCTGGTGATTTTCCAGACCGTCGTTTTGGACACGTCCTGTCACGGAGCAAGGCATCATGCCGGATTGCCATATTGCTTTGGACCATGCTTTGGGGGGGGGGGGGCTGCCTTTACTTCTGCGCGGGCTTGTGTCGTCTGCTGCGTCGGCTGTAATCCATGCAGGCTCGCGGCTTCAAGAGGTTCGGGATCTTGCCTCTGCGTGTTCTGCGCGGAGCCGCGCGTGGAAGCTGCCAAGGCCGTAGCCGGCGCTGTATCTTTGCAGGGACAGGGGCTACTGGCTCTGGAAGTGTGGCGGAGTACCCTTGTACGTGGGATTCTGGACATTAGGGCTTCGTATCAAGTCGACCGTGATGGTAGGGAACCGATTCGCACACCGGGTGCAAAACCCATAAACTCAAAAGTCTTCTGACGTCCCATAAGCCCTCACAGCCCTGAAAGACTTGAGTGGTGTGCAAAAGCCCTGAAACCTAAAGTTAAAAAGCCCTTAACATCCTAAACCCGAAAAACCCTCGACCGTGACTCAAATCCTTGATTGGTGTGACAAGAGCGCAAAACCCTAAAGCCTTAAATCCTGAAAACCCTTTAACCCTGAAGCCCCTCGACAGAATTGCATACACACATACATACACCGATACCAGCATATGTAATTATATGAATATGTATACATGTATCTGTATATGAAAAATATGCACATGTATTTGTTTATGTATATATATATATGTATATACATACGTACTTGTATACGTGTGTTTGTATATTCTGCTTGAAACGAAAAACCCTAACCTCTAAAGTCGACAGACAAGGTGGGGAGCCCAAATCGCAGTGAGTCGGAACTCGGTGGGTGCTGCAGCCGCCAGTGCTTGAATCGAGAATTGTGCTTGAATCGTGCGTGCTTGAATGGATCCGCGCTTGACTCCAGCGTGCTTGAAACGCGGCCCAGTGCTTGAAGCGGACTTTTCCGCGACCGCCAAAGCCCGGAACACCAAAGCAAACTCAGCACGCTCGGCCTCAGCACGTTGGCCAAGTTTTCTTCCTCCAATGGCGTGGTGTCCTCAGTTCTCAGAGCTGGTTTACCTAAGCCCTAAACCCCAAACCAATGTCAGAGTTCAACTATTTGGAAAGTCTGAGCCTCGAGACCTCTTGATGACCATCCAAACCCCAAAACCCCCAAACTCAAAAGCCCGGTCCCTACGCTCCGAGGGCTGGGGGTGTTTGGGGTTTAGGGTTTAGGGTTTGGGGTTTAGGGTCTCGGGCTGAGGATTTAGGGTCTAGGGTTTAGGGTTTCGGGTGCAAAGTCGAAGTTCTTGCTCCCAAGCCGTTGAAAACCCAAAGGCCTTGCTGAGCTCCGAAATTTTTCTCCAGGCAAAAGCACAGGGCGAACTAAGAACCTTGAGAGCCGTTCTTTGAACTCCGACACGAAACAAAACACTCTCATTTAAAGCCTCAACCCTAAACCCTAAACCCTAAACACTAGATTCTGCGAGCCCTGCCGCCGGGCGGCGCCTAAGAGAGCGCTGAGCGCAGCCCGTCGATGCAGCGTGATGACGAGTAGCAGGAACAACAAAAGAAGAGCCTTGAGAAACGGATGTTTCTGGCACCGGCATACTTAGGGGGACGGAGGTATTAGCACGGGTTGGAGAGTGTTGGGGGCGCTTTGTTCTCTGTAAATCGTGTCGGCTATGTAGATTGCGAAGTTGCACAGACAGAGTAGGTAGCACTTGCAGGCCACGAATATCTCGTCCTTGGCTGCAAAACTTGCTGGGTGTCTTAAGGTTTTTAGGAAGTTGGGCGCGGTTAGGCGGTTCAAGCACTTGTACCGCCTAAACCGCGCGATTCGAGTAGTTTTTCCGAATCATAGGGCGCTTGTGATTTGCTTAAAACTTCGACGCCCACCACCAATTTCAGCCTCCCGAACACAAGGTCTTGGCCTTGGAGCCACCTTAATTGAATCCCATACAGAATGTGAAACCGAAATCGTAAACGGCTGCCCAATCTCGCCTGATCTCACCCACTAAGTCAAAAGGACTTGAGAGACAAGGGAGAACATTCGAACTTCTATGCGCACAAAGCCCCAACGCTCAACAAACTTGCAAGGCCCTAGCACGCAGAGAAACGAGTGACGGGTTTAAAGTTTAGGCCTAGTTTCGTTTTCGTCACTTTTGGTAAGGTTGTGTGCATGTTTCTTGCACCCCGCAACCCTAAACCCTAAACCCTAAACCCTCACGATAAGTTGGGCTCCCAGGCATAGGCTCCCAGGCCACGCCAGGCGGCGTCACGGAGGAGCGTCCCAAGGCGGGGAAGCTCTGGCGGGCCCGGGCCTGATTTCAGATGGCTCTATATGCAGACAAAGATATAAGAAAACAATGCACATATATATATATACATGCATATGTACATACGTACATCTGTAAGTAAGTGTGTGTGTATATGTATGTAAACATGCACAAGTAAGGGGTCTAAGGTTAGGGTTTCGTACTTTGAAAGATGAATGTTTTGACGGTTGAGGTTGAAGAAGGTTCAGGGTTTAGGATGCATCTCCCGCTCTCGCACTTCATTCGCTCTTTCGGAGCTTCATAGGTGCACCTCCCCAAGAAGAGGGTATCCGGCGACTTGGATCCTTTTTCCAGGATCCCCTATAAAGGGTACCGCCCCCCACCCCCACCTGCTTCGGAAACCGCTTTAGCAGGTTTATAGGGCTTTGAGGAATGGCGCTAGAAGGTCTTTTCGATGTGCGTGCTGGAAGGAGCTGATTCGCCGAGTCGAGGGTTGTTGGGAATTCTGGATTCATAAAACCAACCCTAAACCCTATACATTTGCTCTGCGCGCCTGTGAGTTAAAAGCCTGCCCGTTCCGAATTTGGAAAGCCTGGTCCTACCCTTAGGACCCTAACTTAACTTCCTCAGCCCTACACCCCCCAATCGGTCAAACTTAAATCATTTCGGAGTTAAGATTCCAGGGAGGCCTGTCTGAGGGAGAACGGTGACAAGGGGGGGGTGAGCTCTTCTTTTTGAAGATTGATCAGAGGACCTTCTTTCGAAGGTTGAGGAAAGGACTTTGCGTCCGCGACCCTGAAACGATTTCAAACAATAAGCTTACGGCGCTTGAGGTTTACGTGCCCTTGTTCCCATTTGCCGGTTAGGAACTGGAGACTTGAATGGTTCAAGCAGCACAAGCACACGCAGGCAGCAAACTCCGATTTCAACATGCAAGCAAGAACCTCCGAACTACTGGAACGCGCAGCAAATTCAGTGTGCGGGTCCGGGGGCTTGTCCTTGCAGTGTCACACAATGCCTTTCAACTTGTGGCAGGGATATCTCCAAACCCTGACATCTCACCTCACCCTGAAATCCCTGAAGCCTAACCCTCAAATCCCTCAAATCCCTCAAATCCCTCAAACCCCTCAAACCCCTCAAATCTACGCCCTCAAGCCCCTAAACCCTAAACCCTAAACCACAAACCCTCAAACCCCTTGATCCCTAAGCCCTAAACCCTAAACCCTCAAATCCGTAAGGGCCCTAGATTCGGTGAATTCTCTTGCCTGGCTTGTCCACCGAAGCCAGGGCCGCCTCCGCTTCTTTCAGCCGCCCTGGCATTTTTAAACTAGGGTTTAGGGTTTAGGGTTTAGGGTTTAGGGTTTAGGGTTTAGGGTTTAGAGATCTTCCCTGTGCTGAGAGACAACCTTCAAACCCCGGCCCGCCAGGACTCTTTTGCCTGTTTTGCAGAAAGGTGGACGAACGTCTCGATCACAATCATTCTAGACAAAACCAGTACGACAACCGAGGGAGGCGCACGCGTCCCCTCCCTCCACAACCGGCACACTGGCCAGGTCAAGTCGCACTAGAACAGCTTGCGTCCTTGCTCGTTTTGCAAGAGGAAGTGCCCTGATTTGATTTTTTTCGTTTTCGCTTGCCGATGTTTGTTTGTCCTGAGTATTTCCAGCAGTAAGACACAATCTGGTTCACTGTGCGATCCAGGTCAGATTCAAAACCCGGGACCGCATGGTCTCACGAAAAGAGGTTCCAACTGACCCCCATCAAATCCTAAAGCCCTAAACCCTAGGGGTCCTTTTAAGCCCGTACAACCCTTAAAACAATTGCGACTTGCAACCCCCCTTTAAAACATTTCACCTCCCAAAGACAAGGCCGTTGAAAGTCCCTTTTCAGCTCTCTCTAAGGCCTTGAAGGAACTGCCTTGCTTCTCAACCCCTGTACACCCCCCATCTACTATTTACTTAAGAACCCCCCAACAAATAAAAACATTCTTCCTCATAAGGGATATATTGTATAGGGAGTATCATTTTTTTATGGGGGGTTCCTGAACAAATAGTAGCCATACCACCTCATAACAAGGCCCTTTGGATGGGCTCCAAAGGAGGCCTTGCTTCGTGTAGACCTCCGCGAGGATTGTCTTTGCCTTGCTGTAGGTCGGGTCCTGAACAACAAGGACCAGGCGGGGAAGGAAGTGGTGTAGGGTTTCTAGGGTCATGCTGCTAACAGGGCGCATGGGGACTAATCATGCACCAGCTGATTAAAACGCAGCAGTGCGATCTGAAGCTTCGGCAAGGACCCAGTGGGGCGCGCACGATTTCAGAAGATTCGATGGCGTCCTCGCACAGAGCTGTCCACAAGTTGCTTCATTCAGACAGACCTACGAGACGGGCTCTGAATATACCAAAGCTCGAATCGGCTATCTGCGTAGTCGTGAACATCGCCAAACCCTTTCGCGCAAGAAAGGACTTCTGGCAAGGCAAAGGGGGCCTCAAGGGCTTTGCTAGTTTTTGTTGGGAGGAATCGGGACGTCAAAGAGTTAACTCTCCAACTGCCTCACTCACACATCCGAAGAAACCACAAAATTGTCACCCGGTGCATCCCCAACCAAAGACACAAAACTCAAACACACACGCCAAGAACAAGCCAAACTTACGGACAAGTCGCAGCCATCTCCAAATATCCCGAGCCTTCTCCGCCTCGGCGAATTCGCCAGCTCCCAGCCGGGCCTGTGTAACTGTTGGAGCTGAAAAGGGAAGGAGTAAGGAGACTTTCTGAGACCTTATTCGACCGTCCCTACACCGCTCAACGGCAACTCCAAAGCCTACGCCCGCCATATTCCCTGAACGCCCCGCATCTTGATTTGGCTGAGTTCACCTGCTTCAACCTTCGGCAATGCCATTCGAAGCCCAATGACAATCTACTGAGCACCCGCCACCGCATTACCAACCCAAACTGCAATCCAGGCCTTTGCCCGGTTGAGGCGCGTCAACGCCAGTTCACGCTTGCGGGCACTCCTTGCCACTTCGGCGTCCTGCTGCACACAACCACGCTTTGCCTGACTGTCATGGTATGACTGACATAGCGGGTGCACGCTGCAGAATTCTTCTCGGCACAGCTATAGCCCAGCCATCGTCAGGAATCCCCCGGTCTCCTCGCCCTTGGGAATCGGCGCCTGAAAATCCGGGGTTTGCTGCTTGGGGCTTGGAGGTGGAGATCGCGACAAGGCGCTTTCTCGTGACACTGCATGCACAAGAAATTGGCATCAACTCGAATCCTGGACCCCCCCCGCGCCTGCAAACCAACACCAAATTGCTGCAAGCCCCATTTCCCCCACTCCCCCCCCCCCCACCTCCTTCAGCAAGTCGTAAGCCCGGGTGAATGTCGCGACTGCCTCAAAGATCGGCTTCAGCCGTCGCCTACACCCCCTAAACCCCTAAAACCAGCCATCAAGTTCCAGCCGACGAAACCCTTGGAGCCTGAACCCAAAAGGCCAAAGAGCCAAAGAACTCCAGGGAAGGTCCTCCAAACCTTTCCAAAAACCGCCAAGAAAGCCTCGAAAAACTTCTAAGCCCCGTAATTCTTTGATCCGTCCCTCCGACCTCGGCAAACGCGCCGCGACCAAAGGCCTGGACACCTTTTTAGGGGTTCGGGGCCTTGGGACCTGTATCTCAAGGATGTAACTCCAAATCGGACTTAGGTGGAACTTTGAAGGTCTAAGGGTTGCGAGTTTGAGGCCATTCCAGCGGTGGCAAGGGGGTCCCGATTCGGCTATTGCTTGAAAGCCTCAGGCCCGACTTCCAGATATGAGTGCACCCTTACAATCCTAGTGGTAGTTGTCCATAGTTGTCCTAGGTTGTGGCATATTTTAGGCGTCGGAAGTCTCAAAACCCATGATCCGCCAGCAGCATGCACCAATCGCAACCCGGTTGTCACCCCGAATCCTTGAAACCATCCTAGCCCTCATGAATGCCTCGGGTTTAGGGCATGTTTGGAAACACCTGGGGTTGTCAATTTCCACCTTCTGAGTTCAGCCGCACCACTGCGCGTGGATCCTGGCAAGTGCTCGGCCCTAAACCCTAAACCCTAAACCCGAAACCCTAAACCGGCATTTGGAAGGCTTTAGGGCTTCTTGGTCAGCGGTTTGAGGGCGTGAGAAGATTTCGGGGCCAAACGCGATCCTTAGCCACATGGCCGTCATGAGGCCCTTGGAAGTCCTACAAACCAAAGTGTATGACCTGGGTGGTGAACATCGTTGAGCTCACAGGCAATGCTATGTGTTTATTGTTGCACCTCCATTGTCATACATTCCTTAGTAGGGGGCTAAAGGGGTTTAAATCCTCGCTGCGGGAAGCAAACTTCTTGGTCAAAGTTTCGGCCATACCAAGACACGGGGCCTTTATACTGTACTTTCATACATTCATGCTTACGTACATATTATACGCACATCTCACAGCTTCAGCCCGCAACCGTCAACCTCCAAAGGTGCCTTCGGCTGCTCCTTCGTCTCGCTGTTCTCCGTTGGGACGCCATCCCTGCACACAGGGAACAGCCCGGTACCCCAATTTCTTGGAGTTTCAGCGATCCAGGGGCGGAAGCACCTTATCATGATAATTCTTACTAGCCATATCTAATTTTTAATATTATCATTATTAGTACTAATATTATTACTATGATTCTGACTCTGATTATGATTATTATTATTATTGTCATTGTTCTTTTATGACTCTGATTGATAGTGACAGTTGGCATGATCATGATGAATTATCAGTGCGAACCTGTGTGCACTGATGTCCTCGCAAAGCTGGCCGAACATATCGAGCACGGGCCTAAATGCTCAAACCCCTGCACGTGACAGGAGGCAGCCTGCTGTCGCCGGCCATCGGGGCGCGCGGCGAATCTCGAACCCTGCGTAGGGGGCCTGGGGCCTTCGTGAAGGAACCTTAAGTCCTATGGGGTGCAAGCTTCTGGAGGATGTGGGGGCTGGGAGTTTTCGGATGTCGTGTGGATGTCTGCCGAATCTGCCTTGGCTGCGGCATAGGTTTGGTTCGCCATCCTTTCCATGACAACTCAAGATATTGCTGTGGGCGCCGGTTTCTGGCATGAGGCTACTCGAGTCCAGCTTGAGCAGCAGTCGCCCACCAACTCAACAATAAGGAGCCCTGAGCCCCAAGCCATGGCATGCCGCCTTTCGATCCCTGAGCTGTAGGTGTCAACACAGTATCAGAGTTTCTGCGCGAAATTGGCTGACCCAATCTTCTTGCAGTGTTAGCCGCAACTTTCGGGGCAGCTGCGGCCAAAGCGCTTCAAAGGGGGGTTGGCAAAAGCAAACTTGCATAGACCAAGCCCTCACAAAACCCTAGCAATGAAGCTTCTTTCTTGACAGCTCGCACCGGTGCACGTGCCAGCACGGTTGCGCCACTCCCTCCTATCACTACACCTCAGTAGATACTTTGTTGTTACAGGGGCTTAGTGTTCGGGCGTTGCTCTTTCGATTGTCCACGAGCAGAGATACTGTTCCAGTCCTTATCATGCCCGGGCTTCAATAAGGTCCAGTGATTGTTTGAGGGAGAGGGGTGTCTAACCCTAAACCCTAAATCCTAAACTCAAGTTTTCCAGGCGTCGCAAACAGTTTGGTGTTGGTTAAGTCCAGGGCCTTTGAAGTCAGTTTAAGTCCAATTGCACCCACCCCTCCCATTGAAATGCCGGTTGCGGGGCCGGGCACTGGTCAGGGTCTTTGCGGGTTCGCGACGTTTTGGGTGAGCCGACAACACAAACTGAGCCAAACAATAATAGAGACATCCATGCACTTATCATGCTGATAGTTGCCGAGGAAGTTGCCAAGTTCATCATGGCAAGGCAGGAGTGTGCGCGCACGTGAAGGGAAGATCTCAACGCAATCCCGGCTTCGACGCTATGATCTTTGTACATCTGTGAGGACCTGCCTGTTTGAGACACCCGTGTTGCGCAAGCTGCACGACGTGCAAATCTAGATGTGCAATGCTCTCCGTCTGTGCTCTCTTACGTGCCTACATGTATCCTGCAGTAGTTCGGTCATCCGCTTTGTGATGGATGGCTTGGAAATGCTCGCCGCAAACAACACGGGCACCAAATGGCATCGGATGCAGCAGTGAAATCGCCAATCCGTCAATGGTTCAAGCTCTCCTCGACGAGATGCGCCTACCAAGGAAGTTCCACACCGTGCAGAACATGAGTCGGGAACAACATGCCTGACGACCAGCTCCGAATAAGATCGGGGGTCGCGGTGTTTATGACTGATTGCCTCCAACGCGCGCACGTTGGGGAAGTCGAAAACCAAGGACGGGCTGAGGGCGAATCCGAACTCCTGCAAACACTCGCAAGTTGACGGCTTGTCTCACTCTATCAAAGGGTTCTTCAGGGAGCGGGGGTTCAAGGAAGGCCCCCTACTACTCCCGACTACTCCCGAAAGCTCCCTAAGCTTGTTAAAGGTTCCCTGAATACCTAACACCCCTTCCTTTGGAACCCTAACTCTGGCACATGCTGCCACCACCAAAAACATGGTTGGCAAGTCCTTCGCCAAGGAACTCGTGAGCGCCACGCTGGAAAGACCTCGTGACGTTGTGACTTCCATCACGTTCAAAACGTCGGGAATAAGGTCAGCAAGGGAAAAAAAAATAGCCCAAAGGCCTACCCGGAATCCCAAAAAAAAAACCTGGCTTGTGAAGCAGTCACCTGCTGAGGGCCCCACTGTCCATGCCAGCTTCCATGAAAGGGTCGTCAATCTCCAACTCCCCATCATCGGCCTATGAAGCTGAGGCTTGTGGGTTGGGTGGTTGGTTTGTTTTTTGGGTCCGCCCTGCCCCCCCCCCCCCCCCCCCCCCCTTTAAAGAAAGGAACACAACTGAACTTGACTGAAAAGAAACTTGATTGAACCAGCTCACTAAACTCGCACGGCTGCGCATCGCATTGCATGCTGCCACTGAGCCCGTGACAATCGCGTCCTTGACGAGTCTGAGGACTGCCTTCCTGTTCAGCATCGAAAAACATCTGAGAGCATTCACGCCATGGAGCATCGCTAGCCTGAAGCTCGCACAGGACAGACTCATGTGCAAAAGCAACTCTGCATGCCCCGGGCCTGACGACAGCAGGATCCAAGCCTCAAGCAAGATTTGGAGTCCCAGCCACAGTATAGGCTCTGCAACACAGGTAATGGCCCGAGCCTTTTGCAGGTGCGTGCACAGTACGGTTGAATTCAATTGAAGTCATCCATAGTGATCCTATAGCTGGATTGCGATGTTCACGAATGGGGACCCTGTTAATGACCCCAGTAAGGCACCCCGAATTTCGGAAAAACTCCCAGAAAAAACCGGGCCCAAGCCTTTCGGCGCAGCCACAGCCACGGAGCTGGCAGCCTGGAGATTTGGGCCAGCTTCAAAAAAGGGGTCGGAATAAATACGAAATTTGTGCCCTTATGGTCCCTTTATAATTCTTTTCTCATAGTCCCCGCAAAACCCAATTCTAATTGTCAAGGCCCCTATATTAGGGCTAGAGGCTTCCGGATTTCCACGTTTCAGGGTTAATTGGTGCTGGGCGCAAAGTCCAAGTGATGTCAGTGACCACAAGAAAGATACCATTTTGCATTCTCTGAGGTGCAAGCAAACGGAAACCCCTCAGTACATAACCCTCTTATGGTAACTTACCTTCAATTCCTTGCCAAGAACCCACCCAATTTATCCCAAATTAGGGAGACTCTGCCTTGGTCCAACTAACCCCTGTGTCCTGAACTACCGGCCCCACTGGCACAATCTTGTACCATGAATTTGGTGCTCTCCTAGGTTCAGCTAGGGTTTAGGGTTTAGGGTTTAGGGTTTGGGGTTTAGGGTTTAGGGTTTAGGGTTCAGCCGCCGGGCCTGTGAAACGTGCAAGAGCCTGATAACTCGGGCTTCTTGTCATCAAGCGCAAGGAGCTTCTCAGACCATCTTTACCCTCCCGAGCTCAGTCACCAGGCCAGTGCAACTTGCAAAAGCCTTATAACTCGGCCTTCTGTCTTGTCATCATGCGCAACCGGGAGTGTCCGTCAAGGCCTTTCAGACCATCTTTACCCTCCCGAGCTCAGTCACCAGGCCAGTGCAATTTGCAGAAGCCTTATAACTCGGCCTTCTGTCTTGTCATCATTCAAGCCTGCGTGCCGCAGTGTAGATGCAGTTATGCCGACAAGACGCATGCTGCTTGGCACAGCATGCACCAGTAGATCAAGCCCTTGCCTCTCTTGCATGGGCAAGCTTCACACACTCGACCAACAAGGCATCTGCAGCACGAGCACTATGACACTGTGATCTCAGACAATTCTACCCTCCCGAGTTCAGTCACCAGGCATTTTGCAGCCTTAAAACTCGGCCTTCTGTCTTGTCATCATGCGAGCCCTCTCAAGTGGCACTCCCACAACAGCGCGAAGGGACAGAACGGGCACGCACACGCACAAGGACACAAACATTGGCGCCTCTGAAAGAGCCGGCAGAAACAGTGGACTGCGGGTCACTCCAAAGCTGAAGGTCCGGGATTCTCAGGCTTTTTTACCCTCCCGAGTTCAGTCACCAGGCCACGGCAGTGACCTTATAACTCGGCCTTCTGTCTTGTCATCATTCGACTCCCATC